TGCTGCTGCTGCTGCTACTGGTACAATGCTGCTACTGCGATGCTGCTACTACTGCCGCTAGTACTGCTGTCGACTACGACGACGACGCCCACGACGACTCCTACTACTACGACTACGACGACNNCACCACTACTGCTGCTGCTGCTTCTACTGCCACCATACTCGTAACCACTGCACTGCAGCTGCGCCTGCATGCGTTCCAGACTCGATGCCTGCCAGGTTGAACGCATCAAATCAAGCTTCAGCGAAGCGACAGAGAGGGTCTGCAAGATTAGAGGACACCCCGACAGCTCGAGTGTTCGGTATGCTGTGAACTCCTTAAGTCAAAATGCATGTTCCCAGAAGGTCGTCTTGAATCGTTCTTGACTGTGAACGGTTTTGCCAGGCTTTGCTGAAAGTATAGCTGCAAAAAATCAACAAGTTCGAGCCCTGAACCCTCTACTCTCGAGGCTGCAGGTGCCAACAAGAATAGCACGCTGAGTCGTCAGGCAGTGGTCATTTAATGCATGATCGTCATAATTTGGGTAGTTGTCAAAATTATGGTCCCTTTTGGGGTACCCTAAATAATCGTTGCCGTAGTATAATAAGGACCCAAAAAGGGACCATAATTTTGACAACCACCATTTGTCGTCATGGGATGAGCTGCGACAGAGTTCAATTCCAGCCAGCTAGTGATCTACTACGTCATTGTGCCAAACACCAGGAGTTTCCTCGCTCCGTGCAAGAGGAACCCTGGGCCATGAAGAGCCCTTCACTGGATTGTATGAGTTTCCTTAGGAGTTGTTATTTTGGTTGTATTATGAAATGAAGCCCAGGGTGTAATTGAGCGTGTTTTGTTCTGCCCAAATGTCCGAGATGGAGCAGATAAACTCCAGTGACCTCTAACTTGCGTTGGTCTCGCACTCCATTACTCAGGTCGTCATCTGAAGGTACTGTTGATGGACAAAATTCTGCATGACCCAAATATAGTATAGTACCATAAATCCCATAGTTTAGGTATATAAGGTCCTGCAGGATTTTGTCCATCCGTAGTTACCTTGACCTCCTTGGGCAGGAGAGATCCCGAACTGGTTCCTGCCCCATATCGACCTGGTTGCCCGGCTCTTGCAGAGCTTTTGAGAGCTTCCGCCACTGCGTAAGCCATGATCAATGTTGGGCTGAGAAGCTCAAGGTCCTGAGACCACTGAAACGCACCTCTAAGGAGAAGGATCGCAAGCAGGTGGAGTCAGAGCTCGCACTCCTGGAAGAGGCAAGGTAAAGAGCCTTTGCAACGTGAAAGCGCAGCATTTCACCTGTCAGAGCCCTAGATCACACTTCTAGGCAACAGACGGTCAGAGGTTTTCAAGGCCTCAAGGCTTGCCTGGCGCCTATGTCTATGACCCATCGAAGCAAGAGGCCGGTGTGCACGCGTCGCCGTACGGCACGCCGTGCTGACATTTGCAGAATAGAGCTTGGGGTTCACGCCTTGAGCAAGGACGCTGCACCGTGAGATTTGTCGCACAATATAACCACAGCCTTAGCAGTGGCGTTGCCGGTGCAGCGGTTGTTTGAACCCAGACAGAAGTTCTTGTCACGCCGCTGGCGAACAAAGACTTTCGGCTGTCACGCCGTCGGGTTGAAGCTTAGGGTTCGGGTGTTTTCTGGCCAGACTCCCTGCTGCTGGAACCGATATGGGAGTTTCCGAAAATTAGGGGTACCTCATTTTGGGGTCCTTATAATAAGGATCCTACTATTTGGGGTACTATATTAGGGTCCCCTATTTTCGGAAACTCCCATATGACATGACATGCTAGCGGAGGGGTTCCTGTGGTACCAAACTCTTTCATGTCATGGCTCGTCCGGGATCGCTGCAGTCCACGCCGCCGCCCACGCATTGCACAACCGTGTGTCCGTCGCACCTCTATTCAAGTCAGGCTCAATGAATGACAGTGGTGAAGAAGCACGGGCAGCTTTCAAACAATTTGGCTGACGATGTTGCTTCTCTCTGCTGCCCGTTCTTGATGTCATCCCGGAGCATTGCCTTGGAAATAGAAGAATGAGAGTCAACATTAATGGTCTTGACATGGCCAAAAAATTCAACAATGTTCGCTGACCTCATCAGACCAAGGACGCTTATATACCCAACCTTCAAAAACCATCCTTCCAGTAATAATGCTAAGCAGCCGTTGAATCAAAGTTACATGCCCATTCTTTCGCTCTTTCAATCGGCACTAGTCTACGAGATTCTCTGCGCCGCCACCACGAAACTCCTTGCGATTGTCCATAATACACTCTCGCTCGAAAATATCTTTTATTTCAAGATCTGGCAGAATCGACTATTTCGAGATTTCGAATGAAACGAATAGCAGAAATAATAAATTCATATATTTTTTAATGAGATCATTATAATGAAGGTCTTTCAAGAATTATGTTCTAAAAAATTCAAATATAAGAAATCTAGATTATACTTTTTAAATTTTGAATATTATAAGGCTAATATAATTTGATAATATTTCATTCTATTTTTTTTTAGATTCTATATCGTGCTCGTTAGAATATGAAATCTCTTTTTGAATATTTTTTGCAAATAATATAAAAAATACGAAATAATATAGATATTTAATCTTATTTCGAGGTGATAATAGAATTTTTATTATAAATAATTTCTGAAAAGAATTTATAAATTCTGAGATTTTATAATAATATTGAAAGATAATTTTATTTATAATATATATTATATTAATAGAATGAAAATAAATAAATAAGATTTTAAATATTTCTTGATTTATAGATAAAAATAAACCGATTAAT